ATACCTCAAATAAACAGGGTGTAACAAGCCACGCTGAAAAAAAAAGTAGCTTTAAGTTTAGACCTCAAATAAACAGGTTGGAACAAGCCACGCAGAAATAAAAAAAAAGTAGCATTAAGTTTAGATCGTAAACAAGCAGTGTGGAACAAGCCACGCTGAAAGAAGCAGCATAAAGTTTAAACCTTAAATGAACATGACGGAACCAGGCACACTGACTCCCCACTAACTATCACGCTTAACGACTTAATGTTTACAAATAATCAGAAAACACCCACAATTATAACAGCTTAGTCCATTAGCTTTTTAAACCAGGCAATAATTTTCACTGTTTTCCTGTTCATTTTACAATTATTATTATTTGAAATACGAATTCATGTCATGAAATCCTTAACAATCCAACTCATTAACTCTGTAAAAAAAAAAAAAAAAAAATCAACACATGAATAAATGCATTATTTTTCCCTCTATCTTCATCTTCTATAGATTAAGGTCCCACAATCAATTTATTGATCATATTGGCTCCTAAGCATGTAGAGGGGGATTTGCAATGTTTCTGTGCCTGGTGCTGATGAGGATATTTCAATGATTACAAGTGCTACTTTGTGACGGTATCATGCACTGGGGGTTGGAAGGTTTGAGGCAATAGACGCTAATGTGTCTAGTGTTGTCGCCTCAACTGTTTTTTTTTTTTTTTAAAGCTTGTTCCAGTCCCTAATTGTCTTGGGCAGGAATGAGCAGTTCCTATACAGATGTTTATAAATATTTGCTGAACAAACAAACTAACTCACTAAAGCAGGCCTGCACTATACTCAAAATGTAAGGCGGGCCGTAATACTTCATGAAAAACTTGTGCGGCTGAAAGATGACAGGACCGGGTTAAAGCTATCAAGAAAATAATAATAATTAAGAATATTTCGTTACTTCGCGGGCCGTATATGTTATGCAGGCCTACACTTAAGTATCACCAAAGGCAATAAGAAGCATGCCAAATCACGTGAGCGCACTGAACAAGCGGTAGTGCAAATAATTCAAGCTAAAGTGATTTAAATCAAGCAGCTGTGCGATAAATGGTGCTATCGTGCTACAAATCAAGCACCATCGCAATAAATAAAACTATATTGCAATAAATCAGGCTATATAGTTCTTCAAATCAAGCAGCTGTGTGATAAATAAAGCTATAGTGCTATGAATCCAGTTATAGTGCTACAAAAATAAAAGTTAAGACGCGATCAATCAAACTTTTAACATAAATTAATCAAATGCAAAGATCTAAAAAAGAAAAATTAAAAAAAACAAAACAAAAAAACACGCTGGCCAATGGGTCAACACACAGCGTGCTCTGAACTCTTATCCTAACCTACTTGGGTCAAGCAGTTTAGCGGACGACGTGACGACTGTCGGGGAGAGTGGTGACACGTTGCTTTGTTGGTAGGACTCGACCAATGCGTGCACGGGTTGGGACAGGTTACTGAAAGAAAATATAATAACAATTTTAAACATAAGAGGTTATAAAGAAGAAAAAAAAAAGTTGAGTAGGCCTAGAGCGTGATTTGGATACGGGTTAAACATGTAGCTGTCAAGTAGTCAAACAGTAGACCGAGGACAACCAACATAAGTAGTCAAACAGTAGACCGAGGCCAACCAACATAAGTAGTCAAACAGTAGACCGAGGCCAACCAACATAAGTAGTCAAACAGTAGACCGAGGCCAACCAACATAAGTAGTCAAACAGTAGACCGAGGCCAACCAACATAAGTAGTCAAACAGTAGACCGAGGCCAACCAACATAAGTAGTCAAACAGTAGACCGAGGCCAACCAACATAAGTAGTCAAACAGTAGACCGAGGCCAACCAACATAAGTAGTCAAACAGTAGACCGAGGCCACCCAACATCGGAAAGCAACATCTTTTTGACTACGCATTGCAGATATTAATTCAATTTATTCTTTTAAAAAAAAATATTTCTTTTACAACCATGATATCCAACCCTATAAACGTAAACACACATACTACGCCTGAACTAAATTTAGTAACAATTCGAAGCTAGGTTTGTAAATTTTACTTCATGTTGGAATTAAAGGGAAACGATAACTAATCGAACACACGCATTCTGTTGAAGGTCTGAGATTACCCTCCTATGACCCCCCGGCTAGTACGTGGGCAGCCAACTCCATCTGTTGGGCTGTGTCGTATATCATTGTGCTCATGTACGGCTCTCCGCCGCCCTGGCCAGTGGCCTCCCCTGAAACACCTAGTGATGGGCAACTCGGCCAACAGATGCGCTAGAGTTTCCGGGACCAGGCTGCAATGCCGGCAGGTAGGGTCCCTGTTATTATCTAGCCTGTTCAAATATGAGTTGATGGGACAATGCTTGGTACGCATTTGTGTCACTAGAGTCGAATGTCGACGACCTAACTTCCTAATTTAATTTTTTTTTTTTAAATAGCATGAATAATTTCCCTTTCTCTGCTGTATGTGCTTTAGTAAAGTTGTTGTAACTAAATATAGTTGTTCATTGTTTCGACTCTCTTACCTTTTGATCAGCTGGAGACAGTAATCTGTGATAAGAATTGTATCCTCTTCCAGCAAAGTTCCCATGCACTGGAAAGCTTCCTTGGGGCCATCTGGTTCTCTGTAAAGTCCCACAACGCCGGGGTACTCGCATTCCGTGACGACGGGTGTTCCAGAGTACATCCTCTTGGCCACAGTCCCCAGTCTGGCAGCTCTACTTCTTGTGTAATAACAGGTTTCTGTATCACAAAGGGAAAAAAAAAATACAGTAGTGCGAGAAGTGAGGTCAAGTCAAATGGCGCGTAATCTTAATATGTGTGTTGGACCATAATTTAAGCCTCTCGGAGGACCTGTCAAGTAAACAGACGCCTTTCGTTCTCACCCAAACCCATCGCGCTGGGCCTCGCATATTTAAGGGGCGAAACATTGTTGATGATGAAAAAAGAATAGCTATTAATTATTTTAAATAGCATTGAAGGAGAAAGGAGAGGGGGGCGCGCTCCAAAAGTCACGCGACGACCCCGTACTCACCTCTAAACACCCCAGCATGCACTTGTTGGTGAAACAAGCAAACACATGTCAACAGCGTTAACAGATATCTCAAAGCGGCCAGCTCCATGTCTTTAACAACAACAAAAAACAATTATAATTCGTTTTATTCGTTATTTCTGATACTTCGTGTGAGCTGATTGTTGCAATTCAGAGCACACTTTTACAATAAGAACAAAATGTGCATTGAATATCCGTTGATGGATACCATCTTAAATAACTGCTCTCCTTTATCAGGTGTTGACAATTGATTTTTTTCCCTCTGGGCATAAACATTTGTACATCATGCTATACCAATAAAAACATTCCAGATAGATAAAAAGAAATAGTCAGATATACAAACACACTGGTCCGATATGTATCTAAAATCTTTAGACGTTACGTGCTCGTCCATTGTGTGTGTCGTTTCCAAGCTTCCCCTCACCCCCCTCCCTCAAGTGATTGTTTAAATGACGCCATACTTAAGAAAGACACGGATTTAACAAATTGGATTGTTGTCTGAGAAAGCATAAAGTGTCTTTAGAATCATTGGGCTGTCAAAAGCATAAAGTGTCTTTAGAATCATTGGGCTGTCAAAAGCATAAAGTGTCTTTAGAATCATTGGGCTGTCAAAAGCATAAAGTGTCTTTAGAATCATTGTGCTGTCAAAAGCATAAAGTGTCTTTAGAATCATTGGGCTGTCAAAAGCATAAAGTGTGTTTAGAATCATTGGGCTGTCAAAAGCATAAAGTGTCTTTAGAATCATTGGGCTGTCAAAAGCATAAAGTGTCTTTAGAATCATTGGGCTGTCAAAAGCATAAAGTGTCTTTAGAATCATTGGGCTGTCAAAAGCATATCGTGTCTTTAGAATTTAGAATCATTGGGCTGTCAAAAGCATAAAGTGTCTTTAGAATCATTGGGCTGTCAAAAGCATAAAGTTTCTTTAGAATCATTGGGCTGTCAAAAGCATAAAGTGTCTTTAGAGTCATTGGGCTGTCAAAAGCATAAAGTGTCTTTAGAATCATTGGGATGTCAAAAGCATAAAGTGTCTTTAGAATCATTGGGATGTCAAAAGCATAAAGTGTCTTTAGAATCATTGGGCTGTCAAAAGCATATCGTGTCTTTAGAATCATTGAGCTGTCAAAAGCATATCGTGTCTTTAGAATCATTGGGCTGTCAAAAGCATAAAGTGTCTTTAGAATCATTGGGCTGTCAAAAGCATAAAGTGTGTTTAGAATCATTGGGCTGTCAAAAGCATACATTGTGTTGAGAATCATTGGGCTGTCATAAGCATAAATTGTGTTGAGAATCATCGGGCTATCAAAAAGCATTAAGTGTCTTTAGAATCATTGGGCTGTCAAAAGCATAAATTGTATTTTTTAGAAACATTGGCTGTCAAAAGCATATATTGTGTTGAGAGAGAATCGCTGGGCTGTCAAAAGCATAAATTGTGTTGAGAGAGAATCACTGGGCTGTCAAAGATACATTCCCTAAAACAGGCTTCGTTTCGATCAGGTGTGAGTTGTTGATATCCTAACTTGTGCATTGGTTAAAAATGTCTCCACAGTCTCCAATAAATCATCACCATTAGAGCCTTTTAACCCCACCCCCCCTTTTTTTTGTTGCTTTTATCCTTCAAGGAAACTCGTTTTATTTTCTTCATTCTGTTGTGTCCCTTTAAATGTTATACTTTAACCCAATCCCCACCGCCTCCCAAGATTTTGACTTTTCCACGTGTTCTTTAGCACCCATTTCCCGCTTTTCCCTTCTGAGTGTTTCACCAGACCACATCCAATGAGCCTACCTTTTAAATATTCCATATTATACTGTCATATATTTTTGCTAGACTGTTAGATCCCTGACAGTCGAAATGGCCGTCTTTATTTCTGGATTCGTTTCGTTGTTACTCATCAATGCAGTAAATATAGTAATTGTAATAACTAAAAGAAATTTCATTGTCGAGACAGGTCAAAGGGCCATGCAGAAATGACCCAAGTGTTACAGTTGATGACCTGTTGACCCCTTGCTCACCTGGTGCCCCCGGGGCCATAGAGATGAGCTGGAAGGATGTGCCAAGTGATAAGTTATTGGAGCCCATTGTGTCAAAAGTATGTTGTTTTTTTCCAGTTTAAGTATAATATATACAGAGCTCAATTAATCATTGGTTAAAATTGTGAATGTTGTATGTTTTGACAGAGTTGTGTCCAACTTTGCAAATTTGAAAAAAGTTGTATTTTAATTCGCCATCTGATTTTTAAAAAAATATATACGTCTAATTTTTCTGTATTTGATAATGTTCCTAATCTCTAAATAATGTTCTTACTACCAAAGTTATGAATTTTGATTGACATCCTCTCTAAATATTTTGAATCCAAATAATTTTTTTTAAAATATTGAAAATGTAAAAAAATATTTTAAAAATTTCTAAAAGAACACATAGGCCACAAATGCCTTTTTAAAAAAAAGAAAGGAGCAGCTGTTAAATTACCTAAAAGGTCAATGACAAATTTTGTTTTTGAGTTCATTCATGATTTAATTGTGAAAGCGTACAAGTGTACAAATATTTGGCCAAGGATTGAGCGGAAAGTTTACTCCTCCTTCCAGAATGACATGTTGATGGCCATCAACAACTCCAAGGCAACTGTAAGTAGTGAGGATTTGAAGAAACTACAAAAGTTCACAAATGATTTTGGCATGGAAGGCTAATGAGTTTAATTACAGCCCTTGGCCACATTGATTCAACATATGGCATGGAAGGCTAATGAGTTTGATTACAGCCCTTGGCCACAATGATTCAACATATGGCATGGAAGACTAATGAGTTTAATTACAGCCCTTGACCACAATGATTCAACATATGGCATGGAAGACTAATGAGTTTAATTACAGCCCTTGGCCACAATGATTCAACATATGGCATGGAAGACTAATGAGTTTGATTACAGCCCTTGACCTCAATGACTCAACATATGGCATGGAAGACTAATGAGTTTGATTACAGCCCTTGACCACAATGATTCAACATATGGCATGGAAGGCTAATGAGTTTGATTACAGCCCTTGGCCACAATGATTCAACATATGGCATGGAAGACTAATGAGTTTAATTACAGCCCTTGACCACAATGATTCAACATATGGCATGGAAGACTAATGAGTTTGATTACAGCCCTTGGCCACAATGATTCAACATATGGCATGGAAGACTAATGAGTTTGATTACAGCCCTTGACCTCAATGACTCAACATATGGCATGGAAGACTAATGAGTTTGATTACAGCCCTTGACCACAATGATTCAACATATGGCATGGAAGACTAATGAGTTTAATTACAGCCCTTGACCACAATGATTCAACATATGGCATGGAAGACTAATGAGTTTAATTACAGCCCTTGGCCACAATGATTCAACATATGGCATGGAAGACTAATGAGTTTAATTACAGCCCTTGGCCACAATGATTCAACATATGGCATGGAAGACTAATGAGTTTGATTACAGCCCTTGACCTCAATGACTCAACATATGGCATGGAAGACTAATGAGTTTGATTACAGCCCTTGACCACAATGATTCAACATATGGCATGGAAGACTAATGAGTTTAATTACAGCCCTTGACCACAATGATTCAACATATGGCATGGAAGACTAATGAGTTTAATTACAGCCCTTGGCCACAATGATTCAACATATGGCATGGAAGACTAATGAGTTTAATTACAGCCCTTGGCCACAATGATTCAACATATGGCATGGAAGACTGATGAGTTTGATTACAGCCCTTGGCCACAATGATTCAACATATGGCATGGAAGGCTAATGAGTTTGATTACAGCCCTTGACCTCAATGACTCAACATATGGCCTGGAAGACTGATGAGAATGAGCCCAGTCCTTGACGACAATGATTCAACATATGGCATGGAAGGCTAATGAGTTTAATTACAGCCCTTGACCTCAATGACTCAACATATGGCATGGAAGGCTAATGAGTTTGATTACAGCCCTTGACCTCTATGACTCAACATATGGCCTGGAAGACTGATGAGAATGAGTCCAGTCCTTGACCACAATGATTCAACATATGGCCTGGAAGGCTGATCAGCATGAGCACAGCCTTTGACCACAATGATTCCACATACTCAGCATACGCAAGCATCTTGCTCCTGATGTCGGACATGTTTTATTTCGTGTGCCACGATAAACCATTTGTCTGCAGATAAATTCTGAGTCTGGCCATGAAATGGCAAACGATCAAAAGAAATCCTGATGATCACCTTCAGTCAATAAAGGGAATAAACACTCACATGGAAGATAACGAATTTACACTACTGTGAACATACTGAAATTTAAATGACGCTCCTTTAGCAAGACATTTATGATTTATAGTGACAGTAAACACTCCTGTGGGTGACGCCGGTTCTCTCCTCTAGATTGGTACCGAAATTCTAGAATGCGGCAGGGGATACTGTTGCAGCAAGAGTTCAGAGGTTTTTTTAGGCCTACCTACTGATAAATTAATGTTATATCTAACGTAAATCCACTCAAATGGCTCATCTGGATTGGGTCTAAAATTCTTTTAAAACTTAAAGTGCCATGAGCAAATGTTTTAGGATCCGCTATCTTTTGACAAAGATTTTCAAAATTTTTAAAAGACTCATACATACGATATATTATGTTAAAAATGTTTGTTTTCAATATGAAACCTCTCAGCCACTTCCTGTGCTCGGAACAACTTTCGACCGGCATCCGATTGGGTATTTGCCAAGCCATCCAGCTTTTGTTTCAGAATCTGAAGTCAATGATTAAAAATGTTTTCAAATGTGATACCATAAACAAAAACAGTAAAATAATTGTTAAAAGATTCTGAACTTGATTAAAGTGTATACGTATTATAGTCTTGATCTGCCATTTTTACATCAAATAAAATTTTAATGAAGTTGCTCATAGCAAAGCAAATCGTATCTCATTTCCTTAAAGATTTAAACAAAAACCTACAACACACTGTTTATGAATGGAGCGATCAGCTCAGTCTCAATTTTAATTGTTCAATTATAATTTAAAGTTTAACCATTTCCAAATTTTTTGCCGGGTACTATACTATACCGCTTGTGTGATTTGATCAATTTATTGAAATGCGGTGTCAAGGAAGGAGTACACCTCATGCCGTAATAGCAGACAGCAGACGTTAGTTTAAACAAATTGTCTCCTTACTCAACTCGATCAAGTTTTCTGGAGCATACACATACAAGGTACAGCAAGTGCTCATCAAATTTCTGGATTATACAAGTATAAGGTACAGCAAGTGTTCTGGAGTATGTACGTACAAGGTACATCAAGTTTTCTAGAGTATACACATACAAGGTACATCAAGTGTTCATCAAATGTCCATGAGTATGCATGTAAGAGTAAATCGAAAGATATTGAAAAAGGAAGTCTGCCACAGTTCTATGCTGCAATTGTCGAAAGGTTGCTGTGGCCCCTGTGAGTCCCCAAAGGCATACGGGTGTATTCAGACGAGCCCGTGGGAGTAACAAATGCTGTCTTGTATTGGGTCGTCAGAGTGCGTGGTGATCTGATGGTATCCACTGGCAAGACGAAGAGCAGAAAAGAACTGAGGTCCAGTTAAGACGTCGACAGATTCTTGAATTCCTGGCAGGGGATAAGAACCTCCCATTTTGTTTTACTTCTTAAAAAATAGATTTAATTGCCTGTAACTGACCATGAGATGTAAGCTACAATCATGTTCACGCAATATATAACAATAGGTGATGTGTGTGGGATGTGAATGAAGCTACCATCATGATCACGCAATATAGAACAATAGGTGATGTGTGTTGCATGTGACTTATGCTACCATCATGGTCACGCAATATAGAACAACAGTAGGTGATGTGTGTGGGATGTGACTTTCCGTGACATCATTGGTTTGAATTAGTTCCCATTTGATGTTGAACTTCTAACAGTTGTTGTGGTTGGGCTGAGATTTCTATTACAAAACATGAACCGTGCACAACTTATGACGCGCTATTCATGCATTAATCTTTTAATGTGGTCTAATGTTAGTTTGTCATTAAAAAAAAGTCAAAGATTTTAATAGTATTACCGGTATCATATTGATAAAGAATCAATGTCAATCGTTAACACTTGAAGCCAGCTTCATTTGTCGTTTTTCGTACGGTACTGAGTAAATCAAAGTACTACATATTAAATACAATTATAAATAATAATTATAAATAACAATTATAAATAATAACTTAGTGGAAAATATAAATACAAACTTTTGAGGTGTGGTGAAAAATGTATTTGCTTAAGTCTAGGGCAGCGGTTCTCAGCCTGTGGGTCGCGACCCCTTTGAGCATCATAGCATATCAGTGGTATCATATTTCCTTCGTATTCCTCTTGAAAAACAGGAAAAACAGATTTTTAGAAGTTAAAGGTGGGGGTGGGGCTTTTGATAGAATGTGTTGTCATTGAGAACGAATCTGTGTGCCGAGTTTCAGCTCGATAACTTGACGGGAAAAGGGTCAATTCGCCGTCCGAAGATTTTGCCAGCCAGCCACGAACAAAAGCGAAGTTACTATAAAGTTATTTCAAAATGAAAGAAGAGAACGTGCATTTTTTGTTACATTATATTTATATACACTAGCCACATAGCAATTATCAAACTAGGCGATATTTTATTTCACTGTCCTTGAACATTCTGCATTCAGTTCATTCACGCAATTCATCCACATCAACATGAACATTTTCAAAAGTCAGTTTTTAACTGCTGAAGTATAGTTACATTGTCAGTTGTTTATATATATATNTATATATAAATATAAATATATATATTTTTTTAAAAAAGTTTCAATGAATGGAAAGAACTTTGCTAAATGGAAATTTTAATAGTTTTCTGGAAGAATGACGAAAATATAAATGTGAAGACATTAAGAATCTCAAAAATGTTAAGTATTGAAGACATGATAAAAATGTGACAAATTTCATGTATGGGAGACATCATCAAATAAATCTGACAAAATCTGAAAAAAATGTAAGTTTGAAAGACATGATCAAAATGTGCTCCTATGATTTAAGACTAGAACACGCAAATAATTAGTGTAGCAAATAGATTTAAGCTTTAGGACAAACATGTACAGCTCAGCGCCCGAGTCTTCGACATTTAAAAATAAATTTGAGATTTGAAATGTTTTTTAAGTTATGATACAATTTGTTTTAAATTTAGGAGGCGGAAAAATGCGGTACACGTAGAAAAATTATTGTGTGTGTGTGATTGATGAACTGAACAATTTGTAGGCCTGCAATTCCTTGAATTGAACAATCTCATTATCTGTAGCCCTAACATTCCATGAACGGTGCAATGTGATTATCTGTAGCCTATTAATTATTATTCTATTTCATGTAAAATCTGTAATGGTAAACTATCAATAGATGTGACTGGCGGGACATGAAGTATATGTGTGCCAATTTCAGTTAGATTCAGGTTCTATGCGTCTATCACACGGGTGTAATATTGACCTTGAACTTAACCTTATGTTCCCACGAGGGGTCTTAAATGACACCTGGGGCCATGAAGTTGCAACTGTGCACTGTCCCTCCAACCCCCCTCTCACCCAAAAAAAAAATGACTGTTAACTGTCAGTGACATATTCATGACGGTGACAGTGTCAATACAATCAATGCATTGTCCATCAAAGT